ACATATTGTAGAGGACACTTGCTCGTCTCACACAACATATTATAGAGGACACTTGCTCGTCTCACACAACATATTATAGAGGACACTTGCTCGTCTCACACAACATATTGTAGAGGACACTTGCTCGTCTCACACAACATATTATGGTTTGCAAATGAGCTGCGTACCTGCAGTCTGTGGGTTGTTCTGTGTATCCCCTCCCCATGTTTGTGCGTCAGTCCCTAAATTACGCTCAAGTAGGCTCAGTTTTGTTGTGTCCGCATTCTAACCGGGTTGGCTCCCCCAACATTATCTCTGGAATGCTTGGTATTTCGACTTGCTTTAGCCGTTTCTTTAACATTTCTGCTATTTACAAGCTGCTCTGGTATGTTATTCATTAACATCAGATTAACGTTTTGCTGGTGCATTTTAAGTGTGTCTGCATGCTTGCGTTCCTTGCTTGGTTGCGGCATGCATTTGTGCGGTGAAGTCAAACACAGACCTGGTGTGTTTGTTAGTGTCTAGTTTGTTGTTGTTGTTGCTTTTATAGTAGTAACTGACACACCGATTCTCTTGTCCTTGGCATATTTCTTTTTGTTATTATCTGGTAAAGTGATGTGAAAATGAATTCAATGTGTGCACGGAGTGAGGCCAGACGGGCAGATTGTAAGACGGGCTCAATTCTTAAGCTTGGCAATTCTTTCTTTCTTATTTTTTATTCTTTATTTCTTAATTCTTCTTTCTTCTTCTTCTTCTTCTTCTTCTTCTTCTTCTTCTTCTTCTTCTTTTCTTCTTCTTCTTCTTCTTCTTCTTCTTCCTCTTCTTCTTCTTCTTCTTCTTCTTCTTCTTCTTTTTCTTCCATTATCCCCCAGAATAACTCTTCCAGCTCGCCCTATCCTTAGTTGTTGCATACAGCTCACTCAGTGTCATCCCCGTCTTCTAAAATACATTCTCCAGTTCTCTTCTCGGTGATGTTTGTTCTGCCTTTATTTCTATGCCTCTGTGAAATTCAGCCTAAAGCTCTTCTGCTTATATTGTTTTCAGGCACCTACTTTAGCAGTCAGTAATTAAGTTATTCTTATTAAAAGGAAATGCTAGCTTCGGCATAAATACACAGCATCACACGCACCATCGTGTATCTTCTTGTCTTCAGTCAAACTGGGTGGTAGGCTTGCTGTACTGAATGTTTTTCTTTTAAACTCTCTCTCTCCCCCCCCCCCTCTCTCTGTCTCTATATCCCTCTATCTCACGCTCTCCCTCTCTCTCTCTCTCTCTCTCTCTCTCTCTCTCTCTCTCTCTGTCATTCTGCTTGTCTGCCTCTCCTCTTGGTTCTCCATCTGACACGATTACTTGTCTCAGATCATGTCTGTGTTCTCGTTCTGCTTTTTTCTCTTTTTCTTCGTCATGTTCGGTTTCCCTCAAGTTTACAGGTGCCACTAAATGTTGCAGTTTAGTTCTCATAACACGCCCACAGAATCTTGACCTTTCATTTCTCTAATTAGTTCATGGTTTTAATGTCTCTGTGCAGCATTGCGTCATTTATGTTTCTGCCCTCTTTGGTATTCGGTCAGATTTCTGCCACCAGATGAATGCAACAGCTAGTAGTATTTCAGAATGTTAGAACGTTATAATTCTCACTACAGCTATATCTTTTTCTGGTTCACCGACTGTAAACTCCGGCAGAAAGTTCTGGTTGCTCGTGCACTTGTTCCAGAACTTTAATGTTACGTAGATATCTATTTTACATCTATGCAGACTGTTGGTTCCTTGCCAGTCAGACAGATTTGGGGAGAAATCCCTAATTTGTCGACTCTTACGTCATGCTTGGTATGGAGGCAGCGGGTCTGTTGTTTTTCCCACAGTGAGACACCAGAACCCACACGGGACCTGCAGCCCTGGTATTTGAATCATTTATATCTTGCAATAGGTTACACCGTCATGGCAGTTTGTGTTCTCATTTCTGCCCATTCCCCGTGTGTGTTCCGGGGCCCTATTATAGGGGAAACAAGAATAGACCCACTTCCTACTTAAAAGCATGACGTAAGAGTCGACTAATTGGGAGATTCCTTCGAAGTCGCAGTGCATCTGCCTGAGAGGCAAGGAACTAACAGTTTGCATACAATTTAGATCTGTCAAACGGCTGCACACGCAACACTCAGGTTTTGAAACAGAGCTGCGATCTAGAAGTGGCCGAACAGCCAGAACTTTCCGCCAGAGTTAACAGCCGGTGAACGTGAAGAAGACGAAGATTAATGCCTATCATCGTCTATTAGCTACAGTCGCCAAGTGTGGTTGCCGCCAGGGAGGCGAGCAATGGCAAACCAGCCGTCTTCAAATCTTCCTAGAACTGTTCCGCAAACCACTGCAGAATAGTTTTACCTATTCCTAAGTTATCTGTGCCTATCAGAGATTCATGTCTACCACATATTCCCCAGTGAGAGGCACATGCCCTCATTCTAAGCGACCCCTCCATTTATCAGTGTGTCTGTTAAAAAGCGGCTGTACACCACGACATTTGGCGTTTGTTACTTTTCTTGCATCTCGCTTTGTCTACAAAAGTCCAGCCTAAGTGTATGCACGGCCATCTTTAGCTATAAAAATCTAGAGTTGGCGGTGGTGTGTGTCACTGGCTGTGAGCAGGTATCTCACGTGTTTTGGATACCCTGGCAGGCAAGAAAAGGGGATTAAGATCATGATGATGATTATAATTATACACTGCATCTGAATCGGTGTCGGTTTGCAGAGTTGCCTGCTCTAATACATTAACGCCATGCTCGATTACTTCCTTCCTTGGTGAGATGTTCGACTGACCTTTATTGCCGAACGGAAACTGCTCTGTTGTGTAGTCATGCCAACTAGTTGTACTGTGCGTGTTGTGTAGTCATGCCAACTAGTTGTAGTGTGCGTGTCCTGTGCTGGAGTTTCTGTGATACTGCCAAGTACTGGTTGTGAGTGGCTGTCAGTATGAGCACCTTACAGTGGCGCCACAATGAGTTCGTTTGACTTCCAGTCCATGAATTGGTGTATTGATTAACTTCTGTGTGACCTTTGTATGATCGATTCTAGTCTTGTTAGGGGACCTGTTGTCGTGAGAGATATTTCATGAACTATATAACCAGGTAATTTGACTATGTTTTAGAAGTCCATACGAGTCAGTGACTCCTACTTCCATGTCATTAAATTGAACCGACCTTGCAAATGCTGCAGGTGATGAAATGTTGAATTCTGTATCTTGCGCCTGCTACACATAGTGAAGCGTTTAATTCTGTCTTCTACAAGGTTTCTGTGTTGTTTAAGCCAGCCGAGCTCTCTCTTTCTCTCTCACTCTCTCATTTATCCCTGCACTCCCACCACAGGCCATACATCCTTTTGTACATCACAAAATTGCTGTACAGTCTTTATATTCATTCCTATCATACTTAATGAGTGAATACATTTCCCATCATACAAAGGAAATATACTGTCTTGTCTTATATATATATATATATTTCGATATCCTACAATATATAACTATTACTAAATGGCTTCCACACTCGTGAGATCTCCATTTGACTTCACATGGGACCTTATGACAGCCTGCATAGACATTGCGCCGTGAATCAATCTTGTCCATTTGAGGCGCCAATTTTATTAACTCACTTACAAATGTTGACTGGCCCAACCACCCACCCCCCCCCCCCCCCCCCCCTCCCCTCCCCTCCTTTACACACACGAATACTATAAGGGCTAGATCAGGTGTCTGAGCCAGGCAGGTTTCCGTGTCCTTGACCTAAGAGTCAGTGATGACTTCTGCGAGCCGATGGTCACCACCATAGTTTGATGCCTGCCGTTATTATCACAAAGACTGGTATGTTGCAACCATGACACAGCTGTCACATTGTGATTACCTCGCAAGGTTACTGAAATCATTAAACGCTCTAATGGTGCCATACTTCATGCAGTTGCATAGAGAAGCAACAATTAGCAGAATCTCCAACAAACTGTTGAGATATTGCTACACAGAACATAATATTTTAAATGGACACACTTCAACTGCTGTTACAAACATCTCTTGCTGAGAAATATCAATACAATACATTCATTCTGCTGCTGCATGCTTTGAAATCAAAAAAGTTAATCCTGTAGTAACGAGTTAAATCCAGGCTGACATTTAATAGAGTACACAATGGACAGAATCAGTGGGGTTTGTTGTTGCTGGGGCTCCTGTCTGATGGCCAATGGTCGAGGGATGTGCTACACACATGATCTCATATAGGAGACAGATCCCCATCATTTGCTGGCTAGAGGGCAACTGATTTCTGTAACGTGTATCTAAGTATGTCAGTGGTATGCTGTACTACTCTTCACTTTCTATTCTGTGCCGTTTTCACAATTCAGGTTGGACATATTCTGCAGTTGTGTTTAAACAAAATGTCGCCTGTTTAGACTGTTGTATTAGCTGTGTTTAGACTCTCAGACAGGTAGCATCTTTCCATCATCCCTCTTGTGGCTTTTAGGATACCCCTATCTCCCCACTGTCCTGGAATTTTAACATCAGGGGGGGGTTGCAGCTTGGATATGTCACATGCATCCTCCGTACACACAGGCATGCATGCACACATACACGTGCTACATGTTATATCTTACATATACATTCTTATAGTAGTCAGTAAATATTCTCATGTAAGAATGTGTTGATCATAAATTACCCCTGTCACGGGAATTGTAGCAGTGCACAGGGTCTGCCTAGTTTGTGTATGCATGCCTGCATATGTGGACATGCTTGTGGGTGTAACGTTAGTGACAAGTTGTCTAGTATTGTGTATCATTTTGAAACAGCTTATATTGTCAGATAGAAGCACGCCTATCAGGCAAAAAGAGGGTGGATAGGGGTGACGGGGAATTAAAGAGAGGTATATTGAGAAAAAGGATATATAGAGAGACTATTGAACAGCTGGAAAGAGTCAGATAAAAGGAGAGAGAAAGAGATATTTTGCTTCATCTGCTTATGTGCTGACTATGTATTGTCTTTTCCCCAACAGGATGACTTTGATGCCATCCGGCCACTGTGTTACCCCAACACTGACATCTTTCTCTTGTGCTTCAGCGTGGTCTCTCCAACGTCTTTCAACAACATCCCAGAGAAATGGGTGCATGAGATTCGCAAACACTCGCCTAGGGTTCCAGTCATGCTGGTGGGCACACAGAGTGACCTTCGCAACGATGTCAAAGTGCTCATTGAACTTGCCAAGTACAAGGAGAAGCCAGTATCTGAGAGTGACGCCTTACGCATGGCTCACGACATTGGGGCTGTCCACTACATGGAGTGCTCAGCACTCACACAGAAGAACCTCAAAGATGTGTTTGACCAGGCAATCTTGTCATCCTTGAACTACCATGCTGACCTCAGCCAGTCTCAGGTTCGCAAGTCCAGTCGGAAAAAGTACAACCTAGGAGTTAGACATAGTGCCAGTCTGAAGAAAGCGGGCTGGAAGAAGTTCTGTTGTTTATTGTGATGTCCACTGTTCTCACACCCTTCATGACTGTACAGCTTCCTCTACGATCATTGGATTGTGCATTCAGGATTCCTATTACATGATGTTTATCATTCAGCTACTGAAACGACTGACCAAACATACACTAGGTGTGTTGTTGGTACACCTACCAGTGTTGGTCGTGTACTCATCTTTGCCTGGGGAATCTGTCGCAGATTTCGCTTATGCTCAGCCCTGTATTTATGAAGAGGTTTTGTCTGCAAGGTATTGTGTATGCATTTATTTATTTTAATGATTAGGTGTTCTTTGTTTGTGCCTTGAGATAGGCAGTTGATGGTACTTGTGAGTTACAGAACAGTTAGCATGGAGGTGAGACATGTTTGTCAAATATGTATTTTAGATTCATTTATCTTCCCTCTGGTTTTCTGTTGGTGATGTTATGTGCTTGTATGAATCGTCATTGAGGTCCAACTGTCATTTGGCTACTGGGCCTGTCGTATAACTTTACTAATGTGAGCTTGGACAACACTGCCCTTGATCAGGTGCATTCTTACTCCTGAATGATTGGACATTAACTTAAGCTGTTGTGTGTTTGATCTTCACATATTCTAGGCTATGGAATAATGCACTCAGGGGATTGGCTGCTTTCCTGCCTGCCTCTTATTCTCAACGCATTATGTCAGAGTTACTTGGTTTTCATGATTTTAAACATGGGTTTACCCCAGAGCTCCATTCTGCTTAGAAACGGGTCTACCCCAGAGCTCCATTCTGCTTAGAAACATGGGTCTACCCCAGAGCTCCATTCTGCTTAGAAACATGGGTCTACCCGAGAGCTCCATTCTGCTTAGAAACATGGGTCTACCCCAGAGCTCCATACTGCTTAGTTACATGGGTCTACCCCAGAGCTCCATACTGCTTAGTTACATGGGTCTACCCCAGAGCTCTATTCTGCTTAGAACTATGGGTCTACCCCAGAGCTCAGTTCTGTTTAGAAACATGGGTCTACCCCAGAGCTCCATTCTGCTTAGTTACATGGGTCTACCCCAGAGCTCCATTCTGCTTAGAAACATGGGTCTACCCCAGAGCTCCAAACTGCTTAGAAAAATAACCTTATGGTTGAAAACTCTCTGCTAAGACAGTTAAACAAATCTCAGATGCTAGCAGAGACAAAAGGCATGCATATTTGCAGATGAAGACTGATGACTCAGCATTTACTCTGAATGTAATGATGTCGGTGATGTAACTTGACAATCTAATTAGATGTTAACTGAAGCATGCCAACCAGTGCAAGCTTGTGAATGTGTGGTGTACGTAAATGTCATATAGATGTGTCAAGTGTTCTCAATGTAAATGCTGTCACCATCCCTCAGACTTGTTCTGTTCAAGTCATTTTATGTGCATGGTCTGTGGTTATAGTACAGCAGTTAGAAGGTTGGTCTTCAAGCTAAAGTGTTTGATCAGAGGTGTCTTGTTCGTGCCAGCACACCATGTTCATGCCACCATGCCATCTTGTTCATGCTAGTCTGCAAGTTTGCTTGTGGGACCCTCTGAGCTGTGCAATCTGATGTGGTTGTGTTTGAGCCCAGTCTCCAGTGTTGACTAGACTTGCTAATGGTGAACTCTGTGGAGACAATATTTGTTCACTGCAACCTAGTGGCTGTAGGCCAAAATACAGCTTTCTCAGCAAGGGCAGAATACAGCTTTCTCAGCAAGGGCAGAATACAGCTTTCTCAGCAAGGGCAGAATACAGCTTTGTCAACAAGGGCAGAATACAGCTTTCTCAGCAAGGGCAGAATACAGCTTTGTCAGCAAGGGCAGAATACAGCTTTGTCAACAAGGACAGAATACAGTTTTGTCAACAAGAGCAGAATACAGCTTTGTCAACAAGGGCAGAATACAGCTTTGTCAGCAAGGGCAGAATACAGCTTTGTCAGCAAGGGCAGAATACAGCTTTGTCAACAAGGGCAGAATACAGCTTTGTCAGCAAGGGCAGAATACAGCTTTGTCAACAAGGACAGAATACAGCTTTGTCAGCAAGGGCAGAATACAGATTTCTCAGCAAGGACAGAATACAGCTTTCTCAGCAGGACTGGAACACACATTGGCTATTGATTGCCTGCTAAACAGGAGGCTGTTATTGCTAGCAGCAGATTTACAGCGTGTAACACAACAGCAGGGTAATAAACGGCAGGTGGACAGCCTAGATTAATTGTTGTGTATCTTTGTGCAGACATGGATTTAGCCTCAGCTGTCATGTGAGAAACCCATGGCTCCTTCAGGCACAGGAGAATGTCATATTCTTGCTGCTGCTGGGGGGTACCTCTGCTTAAATAACATTGGATGGCCTACTAACTGAATAGACAGTAGTCTGGTCTCCAGATATTCTGTCAGTCATCAAATAAGGTCACTTAATTTCCTCTAGTTACAGGGGCAAAAATGGCAAGGAAGGCCATTCAACAGATCTGTTCAGTCACAAGTAGCAAAAACCCGCATATAGAGGAACATCTACCTTTGACACTCCTAGTATCTGCTTTTTGATTACATGACTTTTGATAAGGGTGAGTTTGGGGACAAAAAGAGGCTGAAGTGACCAAATGAGACCGTACTGTTTTCAAGGATGGTATTGGACTAGAATTGAACTATTGCTGCTGTAAAAGACACACTTGATGACCTTCAACAACAGAGAAAATGGAGGGAACATGTACAATTGTCGCTGGTATCAATAGTGTCCTGTGATATTTATATTGTATCACCAGCCTAGAGACTTTTTATTTAGATATCTGTCTTCTCTGTGCCAAGTTTCATAGTTTGGTGACAGCAACTGACTTAACTATGAGGACCATGTTTTGGGGGGCTGAAATATCTAGAGATATAACACATACCAGACAAACATTGCGTCAGTCAGCTTTCTTGGTGGCTTTTAAAATCAAGTGTAGGGTGCTAGTGTAGGTGGAAAACAGCTGCATCAGGAGCGAGTCTTATTTAGTTGAGTCTGTCACTCATATTCTCTCCTTCCTCTTACATTTGGACTCTCTCCAACCACCTCCTCCCATATTTGTCTTTCACACCCTCGTCTCCTCTAATACACCCTGACTTTCACCCATCCCCTGTTTCTCACTCATTAATCACCAGCCCTCATATACTGGGCAGAATTTGCCATTAAGATGTGATATGTTTGGCATGTCACATTTGCTAGGTCACTGTCATGTTAGCGTCTGTATTCTCACAGCTGGCCTCTTTTCCATTCCCATGTAGTAGGTGACATGGTCAGTCCCCAGGGCTCCTGGAGGCTGTAATCTCATAGATACCAGAGTGGTAGAAGCACATGGGTGGTCCTTCGTGATACTCAGAGTGGTAGAAGCACATGGGTGGCCCTTCGTGGTACTCAGAGTGGTAGAAGCACATGGGTGGCCGTTCGTGGTACTCAGAGTGGTAGAAGCACATGGGTGGCCCTTCATGGTACTCAGAGTGGTAGAAGCACATGGGTGGCCCTTCGTGGTACTCAGAGTGGTAGAAGCACATGGGTGGCCCTTCGTGGTACTCATGTTTGTAGGCAAAATCACTTGGCACTTAAGGTGTTAGAAGACATTGGGGAAACAGGAGTACAGACATAACATTAGACTGCACTAACACTGATAAAATTACCTTAACTGGAGACATGGAAAGCATATGGACCAGACAGGTGTGGGGTCAAGTTTTAGTCACAGCTCAGTAGTATTGGCCTGTATGTAAATCAGCAGCTGGGAGGAAACAGAGGGTGTAAGAAGACAAATCTAGTCTACCTGGTGATATAAGATAATACTGTCTTAGTGAAACAGACGCTATACATACAGGTATGAAGAACATTCTGCTCTAAGTTGAGTGTGTACAAATTAGAGTTACTATAAAACTCTCTGCTAAGACGGTTAAACAAATATTAAATGCTAGCAGAGACAAAACCAGGCTTTTCACACAAGATACCAGTATGCATAATAAATGTCTGTACGGAACCAAAGTTGTGAAGGATCCTGATTGTGCTTGCTAACCCTTAAGTCAGTTAGCGTGGGAAGATTATCCACACAAACAGTGTGCAGTTGATTGTTGAATAGGTTTATCCAGTACATACTGCTCAACATCCCAGGGTGGTGATTAGGGCATCTGGTTGTCTAGGATAAGACACTTTATAAAGACCACTGTGCAAGTGAATCTCTGGGCTCTTAGAAATTGACTAGAATAGGCCCAGTAGATCATTAGCAAGGCTAGCAATAACTTAGAAACACACACGTACACTAACAAACACATGTGTTTGCTGTGTATTTATTATATACACACATCTGGGTCCTTTGTGCTTTGTACTGGCATTCCTTTTATGTGAATATTCTGACAAGACTGATCTGTTATGGTGAGACCAGTGTGCATTGATATAATTCCCAAACATAGAATGCTGCATTGATGTCATGCCTGAGTGGAAACTGGAGGCTACTATTTTGTTGTGACACCACCAGCTTCCCCTTTTCTAAGAGGTCTTGCACATACCAGTGGAAATCAATAGAGTGTATTTGTGGGGAAGATAATGAGTGGGTTGTGAACTGTTGGACAAAGAGAAATGAATGGCATACTGAAGGATAGCTGATGTATAAAACCATGCCTGGCCTAGAATACATCACTACATGTATGGTATCGATTGATGGAGCAAGCTGAAAGAAGTATATAGTGCAGAACAAGTGGTTCCACTCTGATACTGACATAGGGGCAGTTTTTATGTTTTGTTTTTAATTTTTCTGTTATCTAGTGTTTGGTCTGTTTGTTTCATTTCTACTTTGTGAGTGCCAGTCAGTGCCTACATATGGGTTAATTTGTTGTTGCATAACTGCAGGGTTGATCAAGTTTATGTTATGTGATGTAACTTTGCTGTGCCGACTATGGGAGAAGCACAAACACTTCTGTAGTTAAGCTTTTATGAGTAATGTCTTTACTAATGAGTTTTGACAGATTCTAGAACAGTGATCATTGACTATTTGAACAGTTGTATGTTCACACTG